TAATTGTTTAAGTTGTTGGTCCTTGACCTATGGGGCTAAATGCCTCTCTCCCAAGATATCTTGTAGGTGTCTCAAAAACCAAACTTTCTACGAAATGTCCTTATTTCTGTTGAGGCACCATCATCTTCCCAGGCACCCAGGTCTACAACCTCCCCTCCTTCTCCCACCCAACCCTAATTTCCTAATTAGTTGTTAAGTCTTCTTGGATCCATCCCCTTCTCTCTAGCACACAGCCATTATGTTAATTTAGGCCCTCATTCCCTCTGGACCGTACCATTCTAGGTAGTTACTCAATAAACATTTATTAAGTGAGCTACTGTCCCTTTAAAGGTGTGGGAATATGGAGGCAAGTAGGAAAAAAGCCCTCAAGGAGCTTACATTCCAGGGAGAGAAGACAATCCATAAAAGGAGAGCGGAAAAAGTGGGGAGAGGGAGGAAGAGATATTTTAAAAAACCTCCTAGTTGGTCTTCTCGCTTCCAATCTCTTCCCTCTTCAATTCATCCCCCACCCAAGTGCCAAAATCTTCTCCCCAAAGTGCAGGTCTGTGTCACTCCCTTACTCAAAAAAACTTCTGTGATTCTCTATGGCTTGTAATAGGATGACGTACAAACCTCTTGGCCTATTAATAGCTAACATTTATTTAATACTTTATGGTCTGAAAAATGCTTTCTGTGTATTATCTTTTGATTCTCACAACAGCCCTGGAAGGTAGATGCTATTGTTATACCCATTTTACAGATAAGGAAACAGGTGGTTAAATGATTTATCCTGATGCAGTTACTATTTTGAACCTGGGGCCTTCTTGCCTTCCAGGTCCAGTTCATTATTCAGTACAACACTTAGCTGCCTGTTATTTGAGGTCCTCTACGTGCCTTTCCAGACTTATTTCCCATTCCATCGACCTTTTCCATCTACTACAGATTCTAGCCACACTGTCTTATTAGCTGTTTCCCTAGACTGAAACTCCTTTTCTTCCATGCTTTCTCACAAGCCCTCTCCATTCCTGAAATGTGCTGGTTCTTTATGTCTGTCTCTCAGAATCTTCATTTTTCCTCTGTGTTCAGTTCAGATGCTGCCTCCTCCTACAGGAAGCCTCTCCTGATTTCCCAGGTGTCAGTGTTCTATCCCTCCTCAAATTACCCCTTATGTACCTCTTTATGTACGTGGTTTATTCTTTTAGTACAGGGCTTCTTAAACTTTTTCCACTCACGTCTTAAACTGTGGGTGGGAGACCCGAGATTCTAAGTTCCTTGAGGGCAGGGGCTGTTTTTGTTTTGTATTTTATCCCCAGCATATAGGGAGGGAGGGAGGGAGGGAGGAAGGTTCAGGCTTGTGCTTTCATTAATGGAGGGAGATCTCACAAGGAATTCCTACCCTGCCAATGCAGATGGACAGAGATACTCTGCTTGTTGTTCAGTTGTTTTAGTCTTGCCTGACCCTTTGTGACCCCATTTGGGGTTTTGTGGGCAAAGATACTGGAGTGGTTTGCCATTTCCTTCTCTAGCTCATTTTACAGGTGAGGAAACTGAGGCAAACAGGTTAAGTGACTTGCCCAGGGTCACATAGCTAGTAAGTGTCTGAGGCCAGATTTGAAGTCAGGAGGATTCATCTTCCTGACTCTGAGCCCGCACTCCATCTGCTTCAGCCACCTAATAACTGCCTGGGACCAGTACAGAAAGATTGAGTGACTTGTCTGAGGTCACACAGGCTGGACTTTATCCCTGGGGTTGTAATTCCAAGACCATCCCTCTCTTCACTACTCCATGCTGGTCCTGGCCCCCTAGTCTTCTGCATAAGAAGTGCTTAGTTGGTGTTTGTTGGAAATTGGAAAATGGAGGGTGTGATTGCCTGGGAATTCCCTTCATCACTCTGAGACATGTTCAACCTTGCCACCAACTCTGTTTCCTGTGCTTATGAAAGGAGAGCTTGATGTCGATAACCAGAAGCAGCAGCATTTACAAATTATTTTTACTTGGTTTGGGAATCTATCTTGTGCTGATTAGGATGGAGAGATGTCAAAGATTGACCTTCCTTTTTTATTTGCATTTTGTTCTAATATTAAAATGAGTTTCTCTTTTCTGAAGATGTGTTGTGGAATGGAAAGCCCAAGAGTGCTGGGGGCAGGGTGGGGAGAGTTCTGTCTAGGATTGAATTCTTACCCATCAATATTTAGTCCACTGGGGAGATATGGATGCATTTATGATCTGTGTTTAGGGGCTCACTCCACACCCCCTCCACCTTGTTTGGGGGCTCAGTTTCCTGGGCTTTATAGGAACTGGGTTGGGGCTTGAAGTGAAAGAGGGGGAAAGGGCATATTCAGCTCCATTCCACACCATTTCCAAGCATTCAGTGGGGCCCATTGCAGTCAGGAAATAAGAAGGGAAAATCCACTAGGGCAGCACATTATAATGGAAAGAACTTTTGACACAAATCCAATGACTTGGGTTTTTGCCATCTGCCATCCAAGTGACTTTGGACCAGTCATTTTCTCTCTCTTGAGACCATTAAGTAGGGTAATAATACTCAACTATCTCTGAGCTCCCTGCAATATCATTCTATGACTCTCTAATGGGGTGAGGATAAGAATAGGCCCCTCATCAATGAAATGGTGAAAATAGTGTCTTAGGGAAGGCTTTTAGTTAGGATGGATTAATGGCGGCTGTGAATGTATAGGCCTGCCTGTACTGGAGTGGGTGCTGTGGGGGGACCCCGGTTCTAAGCTGAGTCTGAGAACACTCTGCAAAGAAAGAAGTGACAAAATTTGGTGATAGATTGTTACTGAACCTTGTTCTCCCCAAGAGGACTTCAGGGTTTCTTGCTTATAGTTGTTGGGGGGAGGGTGGATGAGTTTGAGGGTTAGGTGTTGGTATCATCCAAGCAGAGATATAGCTGAGGAGAGACCCCTGGGCTGGAGCTGTAGATTTGTAAGGATTCAGGAGTCCGAGTTTCTATTTTAATAGAAATTATAATTGGGGATGAGGGGAGGGGAGTGTAAGAAAGAAAAGAATGTTAATGAATTTGAAAGGGGTTTGAAAAGTTAACAGTGAGTGATCAATCATGATGTGTGTGTGTGTATGTGTATGTATATGTGTGTGGGGTGTGTGTGTGTGTGTGTGTGTGTGTGTGTGTGAGAGAGAGACAGACATAGCTCTGACTTCTTGCCCCGGCCAGTTTTTTGTTTTTTTTTTTGCTCTTTCTAAATAAATGGGTTTAATGGGAGGGTTCCTTCCTGTTCTGCTTTCCTAATTGTTTCCTCTGGCACCTGGTTCTCCATACTGGGCAGACTGTAGCTTGGGGCCTGGTCATTCTGGAGCCCTGGCTGTCTGCCTTAGCTCTGGTGTGTCTTCATAACCTCCCTCCTTTCTTTTCCCTCCCTCATCACACCTGAACTCAGCCTTTTGGGATCTGATGAGAGAACAGCCTGTAAAGAATATTTTGCTAACCTTAACGGGCTTTCTAAATGCTAGCCTTTCCTCCCTTAGTTCTGGCTCTAACCTGCGTACCCCACTGTAAGGTTAGACAAGGCGTCCCAATGAGGCCCAAACTTCTAAGCAGTTTCTTATCAGGATTGCTGTTTCTTACTTCCCAAAGTGTAAATTGTTCCGGTGTGTTGTAATGGAAAGCTGAACTTGAAGTCTGGAGAGAGCTGGGTTCAAATAGTTTTAATACTCCCTACCCCCTCGACTTTGAGCAAAGGATTTTAACCTCTCTGAGCCTGTTTCCCCATTTGTAAAATGGGGAGGCTCAAATTAAAACATATACGGGGTGTCCCTGTATGTATGTAAAGCATTTTGCAAATCTTAAAGCCGATATAAATGTGAACTATTTTTATTCCCACTCCTATCCCACCCCTCTGGCCATTGACCACAGGGAGTGTGGTGGACAGAGACATACCCTGGAGAAATGCCTGGGTGGGGGGTTTTTACTTTCAGACGTTGGGAGTGAGATGGGTATAGTGTGGGGAGCCTGGTATAGCTGCCAGGAGCACTCACTGAGGGGCTCGGTCGAACTCTGGCACTAACGATACCTACGTGACAGTGGGTAAGTCTGTTTCCTCTTCTGTGTAATGGGGGGGGGGGGCGAACTAGATATAGATAATCCCTGGCCTCCTTTCCGCACTAAAACCAATCTCATTTGGCCCGAGGGTAGGACGATAAGTCCAGAAGAAAGTTGGCGGGGGAGGGAGTGGTGGTGCCCGGGGATACCCGAGGAGCCCTGGGGAGGGCGGGTCTGTCCCACCCCTGAAGTTCCCAGGGGCGGCCCCTTATAGCCAGGCTGCCCCTAACCGGCCGCGCCCTTCTGCGCTGCGCTGCCCCCTTCTCCCCTTCCCTCCCCGGTCAAGTGTAAGAAAGCAGCGGGGGTTGGAGCTGGGCCGGAAGGCGCGGGGTCTCCCCGCCAGCCGGGGTCCATGCTTTCCAAAGCACCGGGCTGCGATCTCGGGTGGGTCCGGTCTGTGGCTACGAGCGCGACCGCAGCGGTCTCCGCAGACCCGCCTCCACCTTCCTTTCACCTTCGGACCTGGCTGGCCAAGTTCAAAGGCAGGGGGCACCACCGGGGCAACCCCCAGGAACGGAGCATCCCCGAAGAGGTGGGGATTCTGGGTTTAGGGGAGCCCCTTTGCCCTGGTCCGCCCCTCCCCTCCGGACCCCTCTCTAGCTCGGCAGGGGAGCGAGGGGTAGCCGGGCCGAGGCTATTTTTAGCCTGCCCGGCGGGCGAGCGGAGGCTATTTATAGATCAAACAATCCCCGCTCCTTGCGTCAATGGAACCCCGAGTGCGTCACGCGCGCAGACATTCCAGGCCCGCGCGCCCCGCCCATTCGGGCTCCCCCTCCCCGCGCTCCCCCGGCCTTCCCTCTCGCCGGAACCGCGCCGCCCCCCGCGCCCTTGTATGGCCAGGAGTGCTCCCGGCCCGCGTGCGTCAGTGGCGCCCCCGCCCCTCTCCGTGCGTCACGGAGTCCTTAAGAGGGGGCTCTGGCTCGCTTGGAGAGCCCCAGTGGCGGAGGCTGCAGAGTTTTGGGGGGAAGCACTGGGGCTGCGGGACCCAGGTTGCAAACCCGGGCTCTTGCCCTGGCCCCAGCTGGCAGCCTTGGGCTGCAGAAGGAGCAGCTGTAGGACGGAAGTCCCCTGGGTAGGTAACTAACTCAAGAAGTCTGCAGGATGGAGCGCTTTGAGGATGTGTGTGAGTGTGTTTGGGGGGTTTGCCTGGGGATGCAGGGGGTGGGATGTGTGGCAGTGGACCAGGAGAAGGGTGCATGATGCTCGTGCTGAGAGGCTGAGGACTGGGTTTTCATGGGGACAAGAATGCAGCTAAGGAGGAATAAGATGGGAACGGGGCACACTGGATGAAGCAGGATGGGGACTTGGGTTCGGCGAGGTGTGTCTTGTGCAAAGGTGGAACAGCTGGAGAATGAATGTTATTGACTTGGAAGCAACCACGGGGTGATGAAACATTCCCCTCCTGGAAGCTGGCTTTGACCCTCGAGGTCCTCAGCCCTTGGGACACAGCAAGAAGGACTTTGCTTATTAAGTTGAAAGCTCTTCACGTCCCCGGGTTTTGGGCATTGGGTACTGTCTGGGGTAGCCAGTAGCCCTTCCTCTGGTAAGCAGGGTGTGGGGCCAGCATCGTCTGTGGGTTGCTGCCACCGCCGTTACTGAGTTTCATATTGCTTGGTCGGTCTTTAGGAAGCTGTGTGCCCAGGGCTTTCTCCTCACTACGGTCCCTCCCCTCCAGTGACCCTTGTCGCTTTCTCGAACCTGCAGTTGTAGTCTGGTTTAATTTTGCAGGTGGGTAGGTAGGAGATTCTTTTCTTCTGTATCCACACTGCAGTAGCCGAGACCTCAGCATAGAGGGAGGAAGCAAGTTGTAGACAGTCGGGCAAACAGTTGTACTGGTGGTTCTGTGTGTGTGTGTGGGGAGGAGGAGTGGGGTAGGGAGAGGGAAGAGAGATCGGGGAACTGGGGCAAACGGGGTGCACTGCAGACTCCTTGGTATTTTGAAAGGCAGGGCACAGCCATCACTCGGGGTTATTGCATTGAGGGGGAAGGGGAGGAGGGAGGCAAAAGTGGTGTCTTAGGTCTGTGTGTACTTTCTCTGAAAGCTCCGGAGTGTGGCTGGTAGAGCTGGAAGGGTTTTGCCCCCAGTGCACACCCACACTTACACATTTTGCCCTGGCGGGGTGGTAGTGGGATTCTGGGTTTGTATTTACATAAAATACCCAGACTTTGCAGCAGTGTGGACTCCCTGAGGATGCTCCTCCGCCTAGGTAGCCCTCATTTCCCTCTCCTCCCCGCCCCCCTTCAGGAGGCTGGATCTCACAGGTGGGATGCAGCTTGGGGCTGGTTTGGAGGAACAGGTGCAGCCTTCCCTGTTGCCAACACCTGCTTTAAGCCGGATTCTCTCCAGCCTTCCCCTTCCTCCACCCTGCCCCTCCCCTCCTGTCTTTCCCCCCTCCCATTTTTTGGTGTTTGTATCCTGTCGGGGGGGGGGGGGAACTGTGACTAGAGCGTTTGGGAGTGGTGGCATCGTCTGTCAACTATATCTTATGTTATTAAGTGATCGAGTCCCTCCCGGTCTGGGGAGCCAGAGGCAATTAGGAAGTTGTAATAATGACTGGGGGCAGTTTGGAGAAACTGGTTAGAAGGGATGGTTATTGATCAGGATGTGGAACTTTGTAACAACATTCAGTGCTGTCTGCCAACTCTGCCACATAGACCTCCCCCTAGCCCTTCCTACCTTTCCAAATATACCCCCTTCAGGCTTACTTTTTTTTGGGGGGGGGAGAGGAGATGCAGTGCTGTCCCTCCCAGGCTCACTTTGCGATGGGGGGGACATGCAGTCCCCCGTCCCAATCTCATTTTGGGAGGGGAAATGTGACCCTAGCCTCACTGGGGTGGGGGAGAGGGAGAGGAAGTCCCATCTCCTTTGCTTGAATCACCTCCCTCCCTCCCCCACCCCAGCACTCCCCAGTGCTACTTAAAACTTCAGTAGTGTCCAGAAGGGACCTGGCAAAGGTTTAAAAGGGGCTTGTTGTCCTTGGATTGTGTGAATGACTTTAGGCAGGGACAGGGCCACTCCCAGCTACCCCTGTTCCCACCCCATTAATCCTACTCTTTGTACTATGTGCCCACCAAGATAATGGATGGGGTGGAGCAGGAGGGTTCCTTGTTCCCTTGGCAAGTGCAGGCTGGTGGGGGGGGTGGCATACCCGCCCCTCCTGGCACAGGGGCATCCTCATCTGAAGGTATTTCTCTGTCTGGGGCCAGAGAGCCCTATGTCCCTTAATTATTCAGGTCATGTTCCTTATTGCAGTTATACCCCACTCCCTCATGTCCCTAATGAAGGCTAGCCCCCACCCCATTTTACAGATGAGGAAAATGGAGCCCAGAGAGGTAGTACATTGACTTGCCCAACCAAGGTCACATATCAAGTTGGTAGGACAGCAGGAGAGTTTGAATCTGAGCCTTCATCCTATTTTGCTCCTCCCCCTCTATTTCAGGTCCCTATTACTTCACAATCCCATATCTGTATGTAGGCTTTAAGACTTCTTCTGGAGCTCTTTCTACTGTCCCTTCGGGGCTTCCTGAGTTTCAGGTGAAAAAAGATAAAATGAGCCTTTCCCTGTCCCCTCTCCTATGGGATTCCTGGGCCAGACACTGATTTAGAGTGAAACCTGAGAGCCAAAAGGGCTCATTGGCCCAGGCCCAGAATCTTCTCCCGCCCCCCCACCCCCCCAGCCAAGGTACCCTTAGCACCCTGCTGGTTTTGGAAATGACTCTTAAAAAAATAACAAGGAAAAATGTCTTTGGACTCAGCCTTGGAATCCCTCCCAAGAACTGTCTCTTCTCCTTCTTGGGATCCCTTTGCTGTCTTCCTCTACTCGGCTTTCCAGTCTGAGCGAGCTCTCTTCCAGCAGTCCTTCGACCTTTAAAAGTCTTTGAGCCGTGTTACCTGATCAGTTTGCTCTCTCCCGGGGCTGGGGCTTGGGGCCTAAGGATGACCTCACTCTTCAGGGAACCCAACATTGAGGGGTCCTGTTAGAGCTTGGGAGCCCACCACTTTACCTTTCCATGCTCAGAATGGGTATGGTTGTTGCTCCAAGCCCTGGGGTGATTGGTGGTAGTGGTAGTGGTGGGGGAGGAAGAGGGGTTGTATGAATCTGTGTAAGCTGGGGCAGGGGTTGGGCAGGTTTCTTTCAGCCACAAGGCAGGGGAAGGGAATCACTGTTTGCATGAAAGCCCAGCTCCCTCCTTTATTGCTTCTTGGTTAGATCAAGGCATCCCCACTCCTCCAGAAGAAAAGTGTTTTATTTGGTGCTGTTCTTTAGGGCCTTTTCACCTCTCAACCAGAGGAGGGTGTGGGCTGGGCTTTTCCTGACCAAGTTCAACCTCCACCCCATCCTTGCCCTAGCTGCATGGGAGTATTTACAGTTCTCATCTCTCCACACCTAGAAATGAACCGCAAGACACCAGGGAGTTAGGAGTTCTGGGTAGCAAATGTCTTGTTTCCCCATCCTCAGGAAGCTAGACCTGAGAGACTGGGTGAGGAGGGATGTAGGAAATGAGGATCTCTTCCCCTTTTTTCATTCCCTGCTGCAGAGATGCCCTGTATCCCAGCCCAGTATGGGACATCAGCTCAGAGTCCAGGACCCCGTGACCATTTTGCCGTTGACCCCCTGACCCAGTCTGGCTTCACCAAGATCACCATGGACCTGGCTGGCCCAGAAGTGCCTCCCACTGCTCCCACTGCCCTGCCCAGCTTCAGCACCTTCATGGATAGCTACACGGGCGAGTTCGACACCTTCCTCTACCAGCTTCCAGGGGCTACCCAACCTGCCTCCTCCTCCTCTTCCTCTTCTGCATCCTCCTCGTCTTCTTCCACGTCGTCATCCTCAGCCACCTCCCCAGCCTCCTCTTCATTCAAGTTTGAGGACTTTCAAATCTATGGCTGCTACCCTGGCTCCTTCAGCAATCAGCTGGATGAGACCCTCTCATCTAGTGGCTCAGACTACTACGGCAGTCCCTGCTCGGCGCCATCCCCATCCACCCCCGGTTTCCAGCCTCCACAGCTCTCCCCCTGGGATGGGAGCTCCTTTGGCCCCTTCTCCCCCAACCAGACTTATGACAGTCTTCGTGCATGGACAGAGCAGCTGCCCAAGGGTCGCCCCCAGCCTCCTGCGTTCTTTTCCTTCAGCCCCCCTGCTGCCCCAAGCCCGGCCATGTCACCAAGTCCCCTGAAGCTGCTCCCGCCCCAGCCTGCTCACCGGCTAGGGGAGGGTGAAGGCTATGGACAGGCTGTCTTTTCTGCCCTGGCCCCTGGCTCCCCACACCTGGATGGGCCCTTGTCCCCAGCCAAGGCTCGGGCCGGGGTCCCTGGGGGGATGGAAGGCCGCTGTGCTGTCTGTGGGGACAATGCCTCATGTCAGCACTATGGTGTCCGAACCTGTGAGGGCTGCAAAGGCTTCTTCAAGGTAACGGTCAATTTGCTGCTGGGTCCACTGTGTCCCCTAGTGCCCCCCTTCTTTCACCTGACTGTTTTGTGGCAGATGGCAGAGAAAGGGAGGAGACTGAAGTCAGGAATAGTTGGGGTCTTCTCTGAAGGGGCAAAGCCAGCCCTGGTTCCTCACACACCTTTTGCTTTCCCCTAAATGGAGAAGAGTCATGGTGTATGTGCCAAAAAGAGCACTGAATTTGGAGATGGGTTCCAATCCCAGCTGGGCTTCTGATTGTACCAGTGTAACATTGGAAAAATCCCTTCCCCTCTCTGTCTCCCTCAGTTTCCTCATCTGTAACACGAAGGGGCTTGGCTAGATGTTCTCAAAGGTTCCTGCCTTCTCAAATCCTATGAGTCTAGAATTCCTTTGGATGAAAGATCGGGGCTAGGTTCTGGGACCCTGGGACCTGGGGGAGAGGGCAGTGTCTTTCCAAGTAGGAAAATGAGACAAAGCTCTCCAAGTTCCTGGGTGGTGAAGGGATACAAGTCTCCAGGATGTCTGGGCTCTGAATTTTCCACTTTTTAGCACCCCCCTCACCAAACCCCCAAGGTGGGGGATGGGGGAGAGCAGGATCCCCGGGGCAGTCATGTTCCTGGCAGGGGATGAAAGGAACTGGGAAGAGGTCTTGGAGGGTGGTGGGGAATGGGACTCTGGAACAGGCTGTGTTCTTGTCCCAGTGCTGGGTTTGTGCCCCACTCCCTCCCCCGCTTCCCTCACTCCAGCCCCTCCCCAGTCCTCATGTATTCCACAGGGGGAGGGACTGGCAGAAACAGACAGATTGAAAAGTACAGGTGCAGGATCTGGGGAGTCCCCCCCCCCCACCCCCATCTCCATGTCCTTGGGCTGGCTTCTTGGAGAAATGTGAAACCTCCCCCCCCCCAAGACCCTCCTCTCCTACTCCTCCTCACCTCCCCACCTCCCCAGCCGCCCCAAATGTTAGAAAAATAGCTGGGAACAGAAGCCGCTTTTGTCCAGGCGGCGGCAGGATCTTGGAAGGCACCCCCCTCCCATCGAGTTTCTTCCCTCCTCCAACTCTGAGTCCTGACAGCTTGTTCCTCCTCTGCCCCTTCCCTCCCCCAGCGGACGGTGCAGAAAAACGCCAAGTACGTGTGCCTGGCCAATAAGGACTGTCCCGTGGACAAGAGGCGTCGAAACCGGTGCCAGTTCTGCCGTTTCCAGAAGTGTCTGGCTGTGGGCATGGTGAAAGAAGGTGGGTGGTGAGGCCCAGGGTGAGGGGGACCGAGGCTGGGCCAGAAGGAGAAAGGGGCCCATAGATCTGGAGGAAGTGGAGTGACGGTTAGGTCAAGGTCAAGGTGGACAGGCAGTGGGGAGGGGATGGTATCAGAGAGGAAGATGGGGTGGGGTTTCTGGTGATGCCTGGGGATTGGGAGATGGGTGGGCTTCTCTAGGCAAGCTACCTTTGCATGCTTTCTCCTTCCACAGGGGGCCTTGGCATGGGTTAAAAATAATTTTATTTTATGATTATATTCCAGCATAACTGGTTTTCTTTGAAATCCTATGTATTTTATGCATTTAAAAACACGACTCAAAAGGAGGTCCATAGGTTTCACCAGACTCTGAAAGGGGTGTCCAGGATACCAAAAGATTAAGAACACCTGCCCTAGGGTCATTGATATTGATTTGCAAGGGAACTTGCTGTCAGCCTGCTGACCTAATGAGACTCTTCTTAGGGTCATGGCCCCCCACCCCAGGTTGGGGAGAAGGGCAGTCTTGTTTCTAATGATGAATCCAGATTGTGTGGGAAACCTCGGAGCTCCCCATTCCGCCCATTCAAACCCTGTTTGCTGACCTCTGACTTGATCTCTCTAGTGGTCCGAACAGATAGTCTGAAAGGACGTCGGGGCCGCCTCCCCTCCAAACCCAAGCAGACCCCAGATTCTTCTCCTGTGAACCTCCTCACATCCCTCGTACGGGCACACATTGATTCTGTGCCCAGCACTGCTAAATTGGACTACTCCAAGGTGAGTCACTGTCCTGCCTGGCTTGAGCAGTGTGGGGAACAGGGTCCTGGGATCCTCCCCCTCCCTCCCTGACCTCATCCGCAAGCGAGATCCCCTTGGGGAGGGCAGAGCCCCCTGGAGAGGTGGGATGGGGTTTGTGGTACAGTGCTCTAGCTCAGCCTTTCTCGGGAGACACTGACCCCCGCCGGGGCCTCCTCAGTTTCAGGAATTAGCACTGCCCCAGTTTGGGAAGGAGGACCCTGGAGACATACAACAATTTTACGATCTGCTGTCGGGCTCCATGGATGTGATTCGCAAGTGGGCGGAGAAAATCCCTGGCTTTTTGGACCTTCTGCCGGCTGACCAGGACCTGCTGTTGGAATCTGCCTTCTTGGAACTCTTCATCCTCCGCCTGGCCTACAGGTAGTGCTAGGAGCCTTGAGGACTCCCCTCTGGCCCCAGACCCCACGCGTCTCCCCAGCCACCCCTTCCTAAGCCCGGGCTCTTATCAGGAAGCACCTCCTAGTTCCGCTTCCCTGCCCCTCGATTCTGGCTATGGCCTGTTCCCCATCGTCCTCCAATCTGCTCAGCCTTTCTTTCCCATCCAGCCTACCCCCTCAGGTATGGAGGGAGTTTTCTCCTATTCATTTGCCACGTTCCCTTTTGTGTATCTGTATTGAGGAAAGCGGACTCCCATTGAAAATCACAGTCCTCACATCCTCTGTATCTACTATCTATCTCTCCCTCCCTCCTGCCCCCAACCACCAAACGCAGGTCCAAGCCCGGGGAAGGGAAGCTGATCTTCTGCACGGGGCTGGTGCTACATCGGCTGCAGTGTGTCCGTGGCTTTGGGGACTGGATCGACAGCATCCTAGCCTTCTCTCGGTCCCTGCACAGCATGGTCATTGATGTCCCGGCCTTTTCCTGCCTTGCTGCCCTTGTCATCATCACCGGTAAGGGGGGGTTGGAGAGGTGAGAAGCTAAGCTAAGTACCATCTGCCTGAAGGGGAGACCAGTGGGTTACTTTCTCCCCAAAGTCAGGCCTCACATCATGTCATTGGGTACCTGACTTCGTAACAAGAATAAGCCAGGGGTTAGATTTTGGGACCAGGTTTGGGGAGGAGACAGGACCTGTCCGCTTGAACTAACACACAATAGTACAAGGCAAAGTGAGTGTGGGACAGGTGCTGCATGAATTCAAAGAGGGAAGGCATTAATCACTGGCCTCAAACCTTCTTTGGAAGAGGTGACCCTTAAAGGCTGCAAAGAGGTTGAGCAGCAGTGTGGAACTCAAATAAAAATGGCTACTGAACGTACATGAGAATCCCTGACAACCACATATCCACTTAGAAAATCACATATTAGGGGTGGCCAGGGTGGTGCAAATGACGAGAGCACTGGCCCTGGAATGAGGAGGACCTGAGTTCAAATTCGGCCTCAAACACTTACTAGCTGTGTGGCCCTGGGCAAGTCACTTAACCCCATGGCCTTAAAAAGAAGAAAGAAAACCACATGTTAACATTATCTATATTCTATTGTATTTTTTAAAACTTTGTTAAATATTTCCCAATTGTATTTTAATCTCGTTCTGGCTGCACTGGGAAATGTTGTAGGCCACAATGGAGCTGGGTTCGAGTTTGACACCGCTGAGTCCAGAGAGAGGGAGACACAGACACTAAGAGCACATTGAGTGTGGTCGTGGAAGGAGGCCATGACTACAGATGTTGGTTATGGGTTGGAGGAGTCCCACGGGGGAAGCTAGCTCCTGAGGGCTGTGTGTAAAATCAGCTGTGGAGGGCACATCCTTGGGACTCAACAGGGCAAAGTCTTTTTTTGTTCTTTTTAATATGTTGTTTAGTCATTTTTAGTTGTGTCCGACTCTTTTTAACCTCAATTGGGAGTTTTCTTGACAAATATACTGGAATGGTTTGCCATTTCCTTCTCTAGCTCATTTTACAGGCAAGGAAACTGAGGCAAACAGGGTTAAGCAACTTTCCCAGGATCACACAGCTAGAATTTATTTCATTCAATACTTCTCAATTACATGTAAAAAGTTTTAACATTCATTTTAAAAAAAATTGAGTTCCAAATTCTCTCTTTCCCTCGCCTTGAGAAGGCAGGCAATTTGATATTGGTAATATGTGTAAAATCATACAAAATACACTTCTGTATTAGTCTCCAGGGCAAATTCTAAAGGAGGTGCAGGCAGGGACCTTGCCAGGAGTCCGAGATCCCAAATGCCCCTCGTGCCCGGGCAGTGTGGCTCACTTGCCCTCTCTCTGCCCACAGACCGCCACGGGCTGCAGGAGCCTCGGAAGGTGGAAGAGCTGCAGAACCGCATTGCGGGCTGTCTGAAGGAGCACGTGTCGTCATTCACATCAGGGGAGCCCCAGCCCCCCAGCTGCCTGTCTCGCCTCCTGGGCAAGCTGCCCGAACTACGCACCTTGTGTACCCAAGGGCTGCAGCGAATCTTCTACCTCAAACTGGAGGACCTAGTGCCACCCCCTGCCATCGTGGACAAGATCTTCATGGATACTCTGCCCTTCTGAAACTCACGCCCCCCCCTCCCCACTGCACACGCACCCCACGTGCCTTCAGGCTATAGTTCCAATAGTCCTCGAAATATTCCCCTCCAACCCTTTTCGCCCCCATCTCTGCCTTGGGCTGGGGCTGTATATTACAGGTTCTCACTCCAAGGGACTGGGGAGAACTGTCTCTACGCCTTAATGGGAGATGTTGAGTTGGGGGGAAGGCTTCTCCCTCCAGCTTTCCTCCCTCCCTACTCCCCTCTCAAAAAAGAGAAAAAGAAAAAAAAACCGGCCATAGCCTCTTGCTTTAATTTTTTTTTTTGTATAATAAATCTTTTTAACAAGCACGTTGTAAATAGGCAGAAAGCTGCTGTTGTACATAAGGGAGAGAGAGGCCTGGGCAAGGAGGGGGGGAGGGGTTGGTTGGACTGGGGAGTGTGGGCAGGGGCGTGAGGTGGAGGGAACGCAACAGTTTGACTCCAGACTTGTCTGAGTAAGCCCTCCTCTGCCCCATTACTCTCCCTGACCTCCCCCCTTCCCCACACCATGTATATAAATTGTCTGTCACTCTAGAAAAAAAAGACATAGGACAGATTCTGACGTTTATATTTGTGTATTTTTCTGGATTTATAGTATGTGACTTTTCTGATTAATATATTTAATATATTGAATAAAAAAATAGACTTGTAGCTGAAACTGGGACTTTGCGTGCCTCGCCCCCCAAAATAGGTAGTTGTAATATAGTTGATAACGTAGCACATAACTAGAGTCTACAAAGTGCTTTACACAAGTTCTTTGGTCTTCACAAGAACTCTATGATGTGGGCCAGGGGCTTATTATCCCCATTTAGAAGTGAACTAGGCCCCCTGAGTGAGAAAGACCTATCTAGGGCTGTTGCTACTACAAGACACAAAGCAGTGCAGTGGGGAGGGAGAGAAGAGAAGGGAAAACTTTTATTCTTCTGAGTCCTCATCCCTTGGGTGAGAACAGGAAGGGACATTAGAGTCTTCAGTTCCAAGGGAGTGAGAGCTCTACCAGAGGGGGCTTGGAAAGGAGTCTTGGCCCTTAATGGTCAGCTAGTTGAACTCCATTTTACAGAAAAGGAAACTGAGGCCCCAAGAGCTGGTGATGTACGCAAAGTGAAACAGCAAGTTAGGATTGGTCAGAAACACAACTCTAACACATCTAGACTTCCCAGGTTCAGGAAGAGGAGGAAACTATAGTTGACTCTGGTTGGGAAAGATAACTCAATTTTCCTTCAGATTCTCTGGTAGAGAAAGGTCTGGGGTGACGAAAAACCCCTAGAAAAAGTGGCTCCTTAACTATATCAGTTAGCAAAGCAATGGGGCCAGAGAAGGGCCCGAGATTTACTGTTAGCCTCCAGTGACCTTATTCTGGGGAACTCTCCACCCAAGCGTCCTATCCTGCTTTGGATCAGACAACATATGAGTTCCTCTTCCAAAGTCAGTTTCAGAGGTCTTGCTGTCCATTTCCCTGCTGGCCATTGGACTGTAGAGCTGAAAAGACCATTGGGTCTAACCCTCTCATTTTACCGAGGAGGAAATTAAGTCCTAGATAAAGGAAGTGACTTGCCTGAGGCCGAGACAGTAAGTGAATTGGGACCCAGGTCTTCTGATTCTAAAGCTATGACTCTAGAAGATAACTCTCCTTTCCCTGCCTTAGGCCAGACAGATATAGAGTCAAGGGAGAGATTTCCTGCCAGGTGTCTCTGAGAAGAAACTACAGGAAGAATGTTTCAGTCCTTAGGAGTATGGGAGAATAGGTGGCTGAGAGACCTGTTAATTTTGGAGTCAAGAGCCTAGGTTCAAATCCTGGATCTGACACTGTGAAAGTGGGCACTTCCCCTCTCTGAGATGGGGATAATAGATTATCAAGAGGTTGTAAGGTGTTATGTAGCTTCTGGATATGTGAGCCATTATCATCCTAGATGTACAGAGATCTCTAAACATTACACACCCCAGCCTGGAGCAAGGCAGGGAGATGGGTAAGAAGACTTAGGGAGCTCCATGGACTACTTGAGCAAGTGGTTCCCTGAGCCCTGCCCTCTGCTCGCCCTCCCCATTCCAAGGCCCCAAGAGCCCCCAGGGCCCTTTCCTTTCTTTTCCACTCAGCAACTGGAAGAACGGGCCTTGGAGTCTCCATCCTGCCCTGGGAGGGGGAACAACAGGGCATTGAGTGGTGGGGCCCTACACACAATAGCTGTTCTGTCCCCTTCGGCCTGTTTCCTACAGGGACAATAGTCAAAGGGCTGGTGACGTGGGGAGAGATCGGAATCCCAGGCGGGATTTTCCAAGCCTTCAATGGTGGCTGTTTGTCTCCACTGGTCCCAGGGACCCAGGAAACCCACCCCCACCCTACCCCTTCTTGATTTGTTCCCCCTAAAGCTCTGGGGCCCCTGCTCCCACCCACGCTGGGCAGCACGCCCAGGGCTGCTCTGCCCTGGAGGTGCCAAGCAGGGTGTGTCATGGGGCTCAGGGCAATAACAGGATGGTGATTGGAGTGGGGAAGATTGGCACGAGGGCTGTGGGCTCTCTGTGGGGTACGGGGACCCCAGGCTGTCTTCTCATCCTTTTGGTCCTGGAAGAAAGAATCCTGATAAGGAGGAGTAACCACAGGGGATTTCTCCTTGACTGGAGGAAGCTTGGCCCAACCTGTAGGATGGGAACATGAGCCAGTAGTACTACGTGTACCATAATTGTAGCTTCCCTTTATATGGTGTTTTATTGTTTATAACTCACTTTCCTCTTGGAATCCCTGGTTTCCTTCTCAAGACTTTCAGCTCAGGCCAGTGCTTAGCACTGTGCTCCTACATAGCTTGTGCTTAGTAAATGCCTGTAGAATTGACAGGGCTTGCCTGCTGCCAGGATGCTCCCTCCCAGAGCTGACTTGGAGTCATTTTGTCTCTACTACACATATACTTACTCGAGGACTTGCTGTCTCCCCTGTAAGCTCCTTGAAGACAGATACTGTTTTCACTTTTGTCTTTGTCCATCTATGGATGAGCACCTGATTGTAGGAGGTAGATGAGAGGCTTCATGGTATAAGGATGGACTAGAAAGATTTCTGGATTTGCAATCAAAGGGTCTGGGTTCAAATCCCAGATCTACCTCTTACTCCCTTTATTTCCTTGGGTAAGTTAATTCCCTTCTCTGGCCCTCAGTTTCCTCATCTATAAAATGGATATCATGCACCGATTATAGAATTTAGAGCTTGAAGGAACATTGGAGATCATAAATTTTGACCTTTAGACATAGAAAAGGAAAAAAAAAAATCATTTATTAAGCACCTACTATGTGCCAAGCACTTTACAAATATTACTTCATTTGATTCTCACAAACAACCCTATGAGGGAGATTTTATGTATTATTTATTCCTATTATTATCCTCTATTTTACACTTGAGGATACTCAGAGACAGACAGAGAGTGACTTGTCCAGGGTTACACAGCTAGCAAATGTCTGAGGCTGGATTTGAACTCTGATTAGAGAGAGAGAGAGAGAGTGTGAACAACAGTGAAAGAGAGAGAAAGAGATAGAGGCAGAGACAGACACCGTTTGGAGGGAATGAGAGATAAGATCTCTGTGGCAAGGTCAACTCCCAGCTGCACTGCCAGGGCCATACCCGCCCAGGACCATAAATCAAGCTGGGTTGTGGGACTGAGGGGGTGGCATTTGGGCTGAGGTCAGAGTAGGTAGAGCCCTCTGGAGACATGCTGTGTTAGCAGAACGCAGTGCCCAGCACGGTGCCAAGACGGTAGAGGTGTTGACTGTCACTCGGCCCTCCGAAGGAAGAAGTGCCCATTGGGGAATCCCAGGGCCTCAGTAGATTTGTCAGCCCACAAACCAGATCACACCCCCATGGTTCTAGTGGAGAGTTTCCTGAAGAAGCAATCCACAAATATTCAGAGTCCTTCAGCCCCTACCTCTCCTCCTGGGCCCAGACACATAGATACTCCCCAGCTTCTTCCTCTCCCCAAAAGAGGGATGTCAAAGACTCCCCTCACCCCGGGGTAAACACACAGAGCTTCCTCCAGAAGGCTGGACACACACCTCTTCTCTACAAGCCTGCCCTTCCCCCACCCCAAGGGGCTGGACATATCGACCCTCCTCCCCCAGACCTCCCCAGAGGGGCCTGGGCCTTGTCCAGTTGCTGGGGTGGCCTAAAGAGCTGTGGGCTGGGCGTCAGTTTCTCACGCTCTCCTGCTCCCTCCCTGCCTCACCATTTCCTCTGCTGGTTGGGGGGGGCGGGGCAGGCGGCTCAGTGACATCAGAAGGAGGGGGGCGGAGTGTTCCAGAGCAAAAAAGCCTCAAGAGGCCACCCCCGCATCGTAGGACCGATGTCCGCCTTCACTGAGTGCATAGAGCGGGGGGCTCCCTAGGGTATGACAACTCCAGGAGCAGAGTTCTGGCTGACTCTTACCAACACCCAGAGCCTGACATCACCCCTACTCCCCACCCCACATTGTTGCTGCTGGGGACTGAGTCACTGACCCCTGCCGAAATCAGGGGCATTGACGCCACAGATGGGGTCAGCAGAGGAGCAAGGATTCTAGGGCAGACCCAAGGTTTCCAATGGGTTGGACTTAGGGGATCAGCCCTGCCTTGGAGGGGAGGGGAGGCCAACTAGGGTCACTTTCATCATGTCTCCAGCTGTGAAATTCAGCTTTTCGGTCTGCCCTTCAAGGCTCCTCCAAATTCCATTTCCCCATCCCTTTCCTGTGATTAGCTTCTGTGCTCCAGCCTGGTAAACCTGCCCCTCTCCCTTCCTCTATCTCTTTTCCCTCCTGCCTGGGATGCCCTGAGCTCCTCTCCTCTCCCAGCCCCCTTCCCCCCACCCCAGCCCTGTCCCTCCCTTCCTTCCTCATCCAACACTTCCTTGACTAAATAAACCCCTTTCAACTCCACCCCTCTCCATCTCAAGGCTCGATCCATCCAGTTATTTTTCTGTCTTTTTAGCTTGGTCTCTGTATACTGGGCGTCTTTTGCCTCTCCCCTCTGGACGTGCCACTCTACACTTTTAGTACCGAGTACAGGGCACTTGGGGAGGTGGGGTCAGGGTGGGGTGGGGAGAGAGTGGGGAGGAGAGATGGGGGAGAGATGAGGGCTTTGAGGTCGGGGCAGTGCTGATCAGCCTGATAGGGGGAGACTAGGACTGATAGGGATAGAGATGAGTGGACAAATCATCTTCTCCACCCCCTCCTCACCCCCAGGGACTCAGGTATAGACCCTCCCTTACAGGCTAAATAGGTCCTCATATGTCCATCCTGGTTTTAGGGTAGGCAGAGCCAGTAGTATAAACTCTGGGGGGGTGTGTGTGTGTGTGTGTGTGTGTGTGTGTGTGTGTGTGTGTGTGTGTTGGGAGAGAACTTGCCTTGCTCACGTTCAGACCTCCTGGAGTTGTCCCCAGCACCTCCTCCAGCACTCTGGGGGCTGGTCAGGCCGGTTCCAGATACCCTCAACTTGGCTCTTTTCCCTTAGCTCCAGCTCCTTCCTCTCTCAGTGTTTCCTTCCTTCCTTCTTTCTTTTTGTCCATCAATTGCCAGGAGAAGACAAACAGTCAGTTCCTTGGCCCATACTCTCCTGTCTACACCACCCCACTGTATGGCCCTGTTCTGTTCCCCTCACTCCACCTCTGAGTGCCCAGACACAACGACAGACCCATGGACGGCTGGGTAA